GATCTGTGGCACATTCCCGGTGGGATCTGTGGCACATTCCCGGTGGGATCTGTGGCCTCCTGGCCTCGCCCTGCTATGGGTGCAGGGTTTATTTAGGAGCTTTCTGGGGGGTTGGTGGTCCCTGGGGTGGCTCCAGCCCCTTGTCCCCCAAAAAGCAGGCAGGGCTTTGCTGGCTGTAGACACCCGGGGACACTCAGAGCCCCCCAGCCTGTGGGGACTCATGCCACAAGGGCTTTGTCCCCAGCCTGGGCTCCGCCTGGAGTGTTTGCACCCTGTGCCCAGATAACTGCAGTTTGCAGCTCTGTGTGCAGGAGATAATTTGGATACACCAAATTGGCGTGTGGGAGGAGATCACTGCGCTGGGCTGGGCTGTATTTTATGTAAGGAGGGGGGAGGCTGTGTTTTTGTCTCTCTGCTGTTGAGATCCTGCTGATAGCCCTGTTTGTTTAAAAGGAGAGAAGAGCCCTTTGGAGAGGGGACCTGGGTGCTGGAAGCCCCCGGGCGGGCTGTGCACAGGCAGAGCACGATGCCTTTCCTGCACGGCTTCCGCAGGATCGTCCTGGAGTACCAGCCCCTGGTGGATGAGCTCCTGGGGCTGCTGGCCATGCCCGACACRGAAAGGCAGAGCTCCCTGGAGAGGTAACAGCAGGGGGATGAACACCCTGGGGGATTTGGGGGGATAGTTGGAGCTCAGGGATGTGGACAATATTGGATGGGGACAGCTCCCCCCGAGTCTTGGGGAGCAGCTCCTCCCACAKACCCTCCTTTTGCTGCTGTTCTTTGGGAATGTGGAGGTGGAGCAAGGCAAGCACGGGCAMTGARTGMTCCCCAGGAAYAGCCCTTTCTGTCTGACCCCAGCARTAAAAAAAYTGGGKCTCAGTTGAGGCCCTGAAGCTGCTGTGTAACCCCACAACCAGCAGATTAGAGACCTAGGGGGAACAGGACCAGAGGAAGACCAGGGATTTTCCTTCTTCCCTGGTGCCACTTTGACCCTTGCACACCTGAGCTATGTTCACTSAATAACTGGTGGGTTTTTGTGTGTCCCAAGCCCTGCCTGTCTGGACAGTGACAGGAGCCAACTCTCAGCTGTGAGAAGAGTCCTGGAGAGGGAGACCCACTCCCCGTTTTATCAGGAAGGTGTGAGCTATGCCCTGCTGAAGGTCACCGAGCTGGGGCTCGTYCCTGCTGCAGAAATCCTCCTGGAATTCGGCGCTGACCTCAGCTTTGAAGGTGAGGCTGGTGGGAAGGGGGCTGGGCCAGGAGGAACCAGCAGATGAGAAGCTGTGCTGGGAGGTGGGGATAGCTGGGGCAGAAAGAGGGGGTGCTGCCAKCTCAGACCCCTGCTCCTTGCTGAAATAAGTGTGGATGTGCCTTGTGGAGAGCTAACCACAAGCATGCACTGGGGGATGGCCAGGAGCTTAAGGGCTTTTGGCAAGATGGAGCCATTGGAACAGCAGGACCCAGGGTGCCTATGACAGCCTGGCAAGTGCTGGAGCCATTTCGGGGAATTCTCTCTCTGTTTTTGAATTCTGTCAGAATTATTCTCTCTGTTTTTGTCCCCAGACCCAGTCACCTACTACACCGCCCTGCACATTGCGGTGCTCCGCAACCAGCCGGACATGGTGGAGCTCCTGGTGCACCACGGTGCTGACATCAACCGCAGAGACCGGGTATGGCTTTRCTGCCTGGCACAGGCAGGCTGAGCCCCCCAAGCCTGAGCTGTCGGGTCTAGTGTGTGGGGACGGCCCTCTTGCTGCCCTGCTCCTGGGCCTCACCATGGGCTGCTTCCCCTTGGCACATCCCTGTGCCTGCTGTCCATAGTGCTCCGATGCTGTGGTAGAAATTCAAGTTGCCTGTGGCTGAGCCCCTGCCTTGGAGCAATGTGTGGGATGAGGCTGGAGGAGACAAACCTCTGCCTGCAGAAGGTTCACTTTGATTTTTGGGGTGGATTCAAATATAYTCTTACTTTGGCCAAGATAAAGCCCCAACAGTGACTCCCTGGAGACACTTAGAATCTTCAGCGTTTACCAGTGTTTTTTAACCCTTTTGCAGATCCATGAGAGCAGCCCCCTGGATCTGGCCAGCGAGGAGCCTGAGCGGTTGCCGTGCCTGCGACGGCTGCTGCAGCTGGGGGCCGATGTCAACGCAGCCGACAAGAACGGTCCGTGCACCCCACCCAGCTGAGGGTGGGCTGGGGCAGGGCACAGGGGCTGGGGCCATCTYGCTGCTGCACCTGCTCCCTGCTAACAGACGGGTTTGGGAGTTGGGAGCAGAATGGCAGAACCTCCCTGTGCTCGGGATTTTCTCCTGGTGAGCTGGCTGTGTGAGAAGGGCTGCACACAGCTCTGTGTAGTCCAGGGGAGATGGGATGAGGCTGTGCCCCTGTAGTCCAGTGGTGCCCGCTTACTCTAAAGCTCACTCTGCTGTGGCACATGTACCCACTGAGGCCACCATCAGCCCTGCACATGTGGCCTGTGACTGTCCCCACAGCTGGGCACCATCRCGGGGGCAGTGGAAGCCTCTGCCAGAAGGGTTGTCACTCCCTGTGTTTGGCTGTCTGGTGGGTGGGTGGATTGTTTTCCTTTCTGCCTTTTGGSGTGTCACCCTGTTGTCCTGTGACTGACTGATTGCTCCATTGCAGGGAAGACAGCTCTGCTGCATGCCTTGGCCAGCAGTGACAGCGGCCAGATCCACAACACCGACAGCATCCGTCTCCTGCTGGAAGGAGGTAAGGAAAACCTCCCCTTTCTGGGYTGGTTGATTCTTTGTGTAGCACCAGGCACTGCCCTTCTGACTCCTTTATGTTTGCACAGGATTGGAATAAAGCTCAGGGGTGCTGGAGCAGGTGCTGGCGTGGCCTCATACTCTGCAGTGCCAGTTACGTTCTCTGTCTCTTGCAGGCGCAGATGTCAGGGCTGCCACCAAAGATGGTGACACCGTTTTCACCTACGTCATCTACCTGCTGGGAGAGATGGCRTACACCTACACCGAGGAGGAGGCCGAGGACATCGAACGCTTCTGCTTTCGTGTCACACAGCTGCTGGTGGCCCACGGTGCCAACCCCAGCGAGTGCCCAGCCTCGGAATCCCTCACACACTTCTGCTTAAAAAGCTTCAAAGACTATTTCCCGCTGCTGCGGTTCTTGCTGGAGTCAGGTGCTGCCTACAACTGCTCCCTCCATGGTCCCTCGTGCTGGTCTGGTTTCCATGTCGCCTTTGAGCACCTCTGCTGGCACCTCAGTAGCTTCGGCGATGAAACCTATTCCAGAGAGCTCATCCAGAAGGGTCAGACTGTGCTGGAGCTCATGATGGCYAGTTCACAAGCCATCCAGCTGCCCAGCAATTTCGAGGTTAACACCAGCAGCTGTAAGTCCCATGGGGAGAAGGTCCAGACTCTGTTCTGCTCACTGAAGCAGCTGGAGCGCTCRCCACAGGCACTGAAACACCTCTGCAGGGTGTTCATCCGGCAGCGCCTGAAACCATGGCCAGTGGATGACAAAATCAAGGCTCTGCCTCTYCCAGACCGGCTGAAGTGGTACCTGCTCATCGACCACACTGCTGCCAGGCATGAGGAAATCTGAGCCAGACAGACAGTGCCTCTGTGTGCTCCCTCCAGAGCCTTGCTGTGCCTGCAGCCACCATATCTCTTCTCTGGGACAGTTTTCTCTGCAGCAAAAGGTGCTGCCCATGAAGTTCCTCTCTGTGGCATTCTGGGGGCTGTTTTTTGGGCACAATGTCACACGTGTTTGTGAAGGTCTCATTGCTCTGTGGCACATCATGGGGAGGCAAGCAGAGCTCCTGGGCATGRGGGAGCTGGATATTGGGGCAGAGGGCTGGTTTGAGGGGGGGAGGTTAAACAAAGGCCTCGGGGCAGGATCAGTGGGTTGGGGGCTGTGACTGGACAGATAGCCTGTCCCCTCTCTGCCAGYCCTGCCATGAGTGGGTGATGCAGTGCCTTAGGTGCGCAGTGAAGTTGAGAGATGCCTTGGGATGCTGTGAGAAGGAATGGGTGTTCTGGCTTTCCTGCCTCTGGTCTTGGTGATGGAGGCAGGTCCAGCATCATCCTGTGTGTGTGGATGCCTTCCTTACTCACTGGGKATGGGAATGAAGGGAAGCAGGACTGGCAGCAGTGCCTGACTGCTCCACACTCTCTTGAGTTTCTGCACCCCATACTGGCACAGAGGACCATCCATCAAGGACATCTGAGAGCTGCTGGGCTCCAAAACACACAGATGGATGTTTCCTAATTTTGTGGTGTGCTCCCTGTGCAAGGATGAGGAATGGGCAGCGAGCAGCTCAGTGCCTTATGCCTCCCTCCCCATTCCTTGGCTCTTTCCCTTGGTGACTGCTCCAGGAATTTTGTTCTCCAGTGCCTCCTTCCCAGGAACAAGAAATAGCTGCACCTAGAGGACTCGTGTTCCAGCCTTGCCACAGCTGCCTGGCTCCCCCTTCTAGGCACCTGCTTCCTCGTGGCGTGCCAAAGACTGGCCACAGAGCTGAGCCCCAGACAGTTTTATTGGTTTGTATTTTGTCATGGGGGACAGATGCAGATGAAAAGAGGAAATATCTGTTCTGATTAAAGAAAGTTTGTATCAAGTAGATCTGGGGTTCACTGGCAGTTTGGCTGCAGTACCAGCTGCCCTCTTACCAGCACYGAGTTTTACCCTGCCCCATGGAACTGGAGCTGTGTGTCCTGATGAACTSGTATTTAAGAAAGCCAGTAATGTGATCAAATTCTGCCCCGGTGTCTGGAATGGGAACTGAGCAATTAAATGAGGCCTTTTATAACAACAGGGGCTTGTTTTTCATGCRGGAGAGGTAGGGTGGAGGAGGGATGGGGGGATGGCTGGAAGGCTGGGCTGCAGCAAGGTCTGTGCCTGGGCTCACCCCTGGCATGCTGCTGTACCAGTGTTGGCCACCGTGGGCCAGTGGCCAGACTTGGGTAAATGAAGGGAATATGGCCAGAGGAGACGGGAGTGTTCAAAGCCAGATGATGGTTTGGGGTAGTGGCAAAGCAGCTGCAGTGTCACCGTGTTGGTGGAGGTGACAGGCTGGAGTGGGAGCAGCTCAGAGCACACCAGTGCATTCCCAGGTTTGCAGGGCTTTGTCTGGGATACCCCTATTCCCAGAGGAGGATGTGGGGGACTCAGGGTTACACACACCTCCCTTTTTGCTGCCCATGTAGGAGACCTGCTCAGGGGTTTGAAGGTGAGGTCCCCTCAAAGCCCCACCAGAGGGCAATGGCAGAGGTTTCTCCCCTTTGCCTTAACCAGCTCATTGCTGAGCAGCAGGAAGGGGTCAAACACCAAAGCAAGGAGTGGAACCCAGAGCATCCCAAAGRTGCCCCAAGCTCCTGTTCACGAGCAGAAGCAGCTTGCTGCTGCCAACAGATCACCTCATGCATGGGAGACCCTCTTGCTCCTGTCCAGAGCTCCCGAGGGTGGCACAGAGCCAACATGCATCTGACAAAGCCCACGTGCAGAAGTGCAACAGCAGGAAAATGTATTTGGCAAACACCTCTTTTCACAAACAGCAGCAACTTGGAAGACGAAGTCCCATCCTTGTCACCCGCCCCTGGAAGGGGAATCACGACACGGGAGAGACCKTTTCCCACTGGCCTCATCTCATGGCAAAGGTGTAGACGTGGTAGATCTCATCAGGGAAGTTCTCCTGGCGCTCCTCGGCCAGGAGGTGCAGCCCAGCTCTGCGGATGATCTTACGGACCACGTCCAGGTCCCGGCAGACGCTGCTGTCCACATCGTCCATGATCACACCCTCCTGAGCCATGTTGTCCTTGATGACCACGATGCCGTTGGGCCGCAGGCCGGCACGGCAGCGCTTCAGGAAGTCGGAGAGGTGGTTGTCAGTGAGATGTCCTGGAGAGGCAGAGTGGAGGTTAGAGGGCAYAGGGTGACCAAGGGGAGGAAACCCAAAGCTGCATTTAGGATCCCTCCTGATCCAAGTAGCCAAATACTTGAGCCATTTGCTGGGAAAGCTTTAGCTTCGGGGTGTCCAGCTTGTGTCCCACTATTTAAYTCCATTCAACCCACACCTCTGCTCTGGCCTCCAAGGGCTTGGGGGTAAAACTACAGTGCCCCCAGGGGCCTTCTGCAGGATGGGGGGCAGCTCCMCACCCCACACCTGTGCTGTGATGCWCAYCCTTCATGCAGACCTCAAGGTGCTCTCCCCAGTGTGTAGGGCACCTGCCCCTCAAAGGGAAGGGACAGGGGACAGGCTGGAAACATGCAAGTGAAATGACCCTCACCGATGACCCACTGGATCCAGATGACATCGTAGGAGTTTGGCTCAGGGCTGAAATCCTGGAGGCCACAGCAGAAGTAGTTGCGCACGCGCCTGCCCTCCTCGCCCAGGTAGCTCTTGGCCTTGGTGAGGAAGTCCTCTGTCACATCCACCATGTCCACTGTCTTGAAGAGGGGCAGCAGCAGCCGCTTGGTGATCCGGCCAATGCCGGCCCCACAGTCCAGAGCACGGGTTGTCCCTGTCCGGTTGGGGCCATCCTGCAACAATAACCATGAGGGAATGAAACCCACCACGAGGTACCCACAGAGGAGAAATGGGACAACCACAGACATGCAGTTGGGGTATTGGGAACACACTGCAAGGCAAAGCTGTCCCAGCACGCAACCGAGGCTCCCATGGAGCAACTCAGAGGGAAGAGCCCAGCTCCACATTGGCAGAAGGGTGGGGTTTTAGGTGCATGACAAACTGTGGCACCTACCCGCAGAAATCTCTGCAGGAACTTCCTGGAGCTGTTGATGTCGATGCTGGAGATGTGGCCGTAGCCCCCCAACATGCCATCCACYGTGGCGGGCACATCCTTCCAGTACTTCTCTGCCTTGGAGTAAAACTCAAGCTCATTCTCCACCACCTCGCTGGTCATGCTGGCCGAGGGCTCGCGCCCGCACAGGACTCACTGCTCCTCTGGGACAGGAGAACCCCAAACCAGGGAGGAATGAGTCAGCTCTGCTAGGACCCCATTTCTATTTATCACCCCTTCCCCYTCCCCAGGGCTACTGCAAACTCCAAAAAACCTTCAGCTGAGAGCAAGAGGAACAAAGATCTAAATCCTGGTATTTTCTGGTGACCAGCAAGCCCAAAACCCCTCCCKGGTAGATGCCTCAGCCAGAACAGACATGGAAGAGCCTTGCTCAGCAATACACCCAATTATATGATTATATTTTAAGAATGACCCATCCTTTTCACCTATTCTRCCTCTCCTTTCCCTGTCTTAACATTTTACAGATTACATGTTTATGTGTGGCGACAACCCCATCAGTCACCTCCAATTACATCTGGAGTTGCTAAAAGTTATCCTGAGCACCTACCTGAGGATTGTAAATCTCAGCCGTGACCATAAGTTAGATATTTGCAATATAATAAAGTCAAGGTATAATCAGCAATACAAGCTATAAATCCCCCCCAGGCATCTCATAATTCAAACCACTGTGGATTTGATTAACTGCGCTGGGGATTAGAAACYAGATTTAAGGTGGCCAAAGGGTAAATTCAAGGACTTCAAACACCTTTASAAATAAAGAAATATATAGTGTTCATGGCTTGAATTTGCTGGCAAGTATGCCATTAGACACAAAACCTTTTCTATGGCAGCTTAGACAGGTTTGGTAGCCCCACGTGGCCTCGAACAGCCTGGGGATAGGAAAGGGGGACACAGCATCTCAACTTACAGGTCACCGGTTGAAATCCAGTTTGGCTCAGTGGTGCCAGAAGCCCGTCTGTGCTGTGATCTAAGAAGAGAGAAGATGGGATTTAAGTGCCAAATCACCCCTCCATTCCTGCCAGCGTGACCATGGCCCCAAGAAACCACAGGTGAGAGCCACCCCAGCCCCACAGACACCCTCCTGGGGAATGGAAACTGCCAGTGCCCCTTAGCTCAGAGTGAGCCAYGTGTGTAGCCAGTGCACGGACAGTTCTGGCCCCATTTTCAGCAGAGCTGCGGTCTGATCTCACAGGCTGGAACCCAGGTTCACCCTCCTGGCAGTGTCCCCATTCCTTGGCCCTGGGTTTGGCTTRGTGAGTCCCTGGTGACTCATTTTTCAGTGTCACAGACTACCAGCAAGGGTGGTAGAGCAGGCTCTATCCACCCTCCTTAACACGATCCTCACCCYGAACCCGAACCCTTCCTGCTGCCCCAGGAGCCCCTGAACCGCGGCCCGCGGACGTGCGTGCAGGTGAAGGCCGGGACTCGCCCCACAGAGCCCGCAGCCGTGGGGAGAAGGTCACACGGCGTGGGGGGGTCACCTCAGTGTGGGGCCTTTGCCCGAGCCCCGGGGACACCGGCAGGCCGAGGAGCGGCAGGAACAGGGGGTCCCCAGGCCGAGGAGCGGTGTGGCTGTGCCGCCATGGGGTCACGGGAGGGTCCCATCGCGGGGTCGAGGTGCGCGGTGCGAGGGGGCGGTCCCGGGTGCAAAGCCCAACCCGGCCCTTTCGCCTCCCGCCCATCGGGGCTGAGCCCCCCCCGCCATCCAGGCCCGCGGCGCTGGGGACCCCGCGGGCCGCCGGGTGCAGCCCTACCCCGGATCCGGCCCGGGCAGCTCCGCTGGCCCCTCCCGGCCCCAACCGTAGCGGCGGCCCGGGGAGGGGCGTGCCGGGGGTGCCCGGTGCCGCCGCTCCCGCCGCTCCCCCGGGCCGCGACCCCCGGGCCCCCCCGTTACCTCCGGCCGCGGCCGCGCGCTGCCCCCCACGGGACGGGCGGCCCGGGGACCAACCAGGCGGCGGCGTGGCGATGACGTCACCGTGACGTCACAGGGCGGGCCCTGCCCCTCTCTCCCACTGTTGGCCGCGCGGGGGCGCTCCGGGACGGGGGCTGGGGG